ATTTATTTATTTAAATATTTTAGGAGAGAGAAAACCAGACTCTCATTGCCAAGATTGCTTCTCTTCAGGAAGAGGTATCTCACTGTCTAAAATGACAATTACCAAATAAGTTGATGGTGAAATCAATGGCTGGACTTTACATGGCTTCAGGAGTACTCACACATTCATAGATGGCTTATGGAGAATATACTTTTTAACAAATTTATTCATGAAAGGACATGACCAGCTGCTCTAACTCCCCTCTGGTGGTTCTATAGAACTTCAAGGTCACCATGGAGACAGACAAGCTTCAGAGGAGAATAGCGGAGCTGTGTGACATTAATGCTGACCTTCAGGTGGCTTTTCACTCCATCCAAAATAATTTTTGTTTTGCCCTGCATTATTACATGTCTAGACTGCCTCTTTATACTCCTCATAGTGTCATTCTCCTGTTCCTTCTGCCTCGCCCAAACGTTTTTGAGTATATACCTGCCTTCCTTCCTCACAAATTGACTTTTGAATTGTAAACCTGTTTGAGACATTAGAAATATTGTCACTGTTGCAACTGCCTTTTTCCTGTCCTCAGGTGCAGATTCACTCTTTTGATGCTGTTGTTGATGATAAGGAAGCAGTGATACTGGAGGTCAGTGCCTTAATGTGTTTTTTAATTGCTGTAAAGGTATTTGCTAAAATCCATTGAGCAAAACCTGTAAAACCTTCAACTTAGTGCTGTCCTCTTTGTTTCTCCACAAGACTCAAACTGGCCTTGTCATTTGCCTCCTTTAACAGAAAAGCAGACAAATAGATGAGCTGAAGGCAGCCATGGAGGAATACTCCTCCATCACAGAGGTCAGTGTGTTGAACTTCACATGATGTAATTTTTTTCAGCTTCTATGTCTAGCAGTTCTCACTACTTTCTCAGAGATATCTTTGCAGCTTTCATGCTTTCCTATCTTTTGTCTTGCTTACTTTTTGTTATTTATTTATTTTGTCTTATCAGTGTTTTTGTTATAAATTTCTACTTTGTCATGTCTTGATATAATTTTCAGCAGTCAGTATAAGTAGCATTTTCATTTGTAGAGACCAAATGTGGGAATTAAATTCACACACAGTTAACAGCTTTGTTGTTTTTGAGAAAGAGTAGGGTACTGTATGTAGTTGACCTCTAAATATCCAATTGGATGGACTGAGTCACAGTTGGTTCCTTGTTGATTTAAGCTGCTGAGAGCAGAGAAGAGCAAACTGGAGAACCAGATGCAGATGATGGACCAAGATCTGTTTGGGTAAGTGAACCAAGAATGACCTGGGAATGAAGGGATTGCAATGTACTGTATATTAACAGTGGCACACCAAGGACATAGACATTAAACACCATTTTTACAACAAATTTTATTTTTCTGGAAGATAACACTAAGTTGCAAGCTATATTTATTAAAAAAGCAGTTATTGTGGGGGGGGCATTACCACAGCTATTTAATTCATGTCTCTATCATGGTAACTTGTTTCCACCCCACCTGTTCACCCTCATTCTCCTGTCTTTCACAGGGCTGGTCTGCCCATGTCTATGGCCTACAGGATAAACCAGAATTGCTCAGGATCCCTACAAACAGAGTTGGCTTTGGCACAGTCACCAGTGGAAGTCAGCACTCCCCTACTGTCCAGCACTATGGCTGTCTTTCACACTTGCTTACCTTTTTATTTATGATGTTCTTTCTCCTTGCTCTCATTCTCATATGGGGCTTCTTGCACATTCTGCACACAATACAAAGCACAGTCTGACATTAGATGCTGTTCTTCACATGCACAATGCAGCTTTCTTTGCAATAAATATACTGATGGTAACTGTTTTAAGTGTATGTTCATA